GTATATATATCTATATACTGCATTTAATTTACAGCAGAAATTCAGGTTAAAATCTATTTTTATCATCTACTCTTTGTTTGTTTTATATTCCAATGATAAAATCTGACTTCAAGTCAGACTTTATTTTTATTTTTTGCAGCAATAGGATGCAGATGCTGTTTTTTCATTTGTTGATAAATGCAGAAACATTTAAACTGACTAAAATTATTAAGTAAGTAAGTAAAGTTTATTTATATAGCACCTTTCAGAGACATAAAATGACAAAGCGCTTAACACAAAACAGAATAAAAACAAGAAAGTAAAATAGTAAATGAAAACATCACCACAGCATTACAATTCATACAAGAATACAAGTAATCAAAAAACACTTAGCTAAAAGCCTGTTTGAAATTAAAATGATTAAAATTAGTTTGTATAGGCAGACAATCCTTTTATAATGTTTATTTAAATAAAAAAGCAACCAAAACTAAAACTATTTCAGTCCTGACACTTGTTGGCATTCTATTGCTAAAATAAAAAGAAACACTTTCTCTGAAACAAGCTTATTCATATTTGGTGAAAATGTTTTTGTTCATAATTTTTCAGAAAATATTCAGCTGTTCAGCATCTAAAACTAATTGACAGTAAGAGTTTATCTCCTGTGACTCCAGCTGCTGACAAAGTGATTCTCAAAAAACAACTGAAGCAACAAGAAAACATCTGTTTTTATTTATTTAAATAAAGGCAAGAAATCTAAAATGAACACAAAGACACAACGTTTATTGCTTTTCTTTCAAACACTACCTAAACGCTAATTTCATTTTTGTTACAAGACTTTAAAATAATTGATAATAATTAGCACATTTTGTTTTTATGTAGACTTTTTGAAGTATCTTAACATCTTTGGAAAAACAATGACCAAATATATTCATTTTTTTAAATACATGTGCCTCTGTGCCCTTCTCTTCATTTTGTAGCCTTTTTCACATTTTATTCAGCTGACTCAGACAACCATGAGCTAACGACTCCTTCAGGCTCGGAGGAAACTGTCAGTAGTTTTGTGTATTTAGAGCCGTCTGAATCGCAGTTTTCTGGGGCAGAGCCTGAGGATGAGGCGGGAACACTGACTGTTTCCAGGATCACGTCTGACGGATTTGACCTCCTTTGGAAACTAAAGGCTCACAATGTCTATGATTATTATGTTGTGCAATATAAAGACACTCAGCAATTATTGGATGTGGGAGAAGTCAGACTTCCTGGAGATGCTCATGGGTCCAGAATCAGTGGCCTGAAGGCATCGACTGAGTATCACATAAAGTTATATGGGATGACGAGTAGCCAGAGAGCTGCACTGCTTGAAGCTGTTGCAGTTACAGGTATAAGTTTCTGTTTTTAAATCTTTTCCTTTTCAGAAAAGAGCCACGTTTCATGGAATACTTGCATATGTTGCATGCTGGTATGAAAGTTTTCAACCGTTTGCATCATTTTTGCATGAAAAATGATTTTATCAAGTTTTCAGTACTGAAATACGGAGCCCACCGGGGGTCAGTTGGAGAAAAAAAAAA